TTTGAGCTTCATATCATCTTCTTGAAGCTTTCAGGAGATGATACCATTCCTCATCCATCGCGAATCGACCTCAGAACCCCTCCTTGCATTTACTTTGGTTGGTAAGTTAGGTGGGTTTTGATTTTTAAGGTTTAGCATGATTTCAATCGCTGTTAACATACAATCATAACTCATATGCATCATTATAATTGTTCTAACGTCTTACATGTAAGTTTTGGTGCAGAAACAGAATCGTGCCATTGTTAGGGCACAAAGCTTTTGAAGCTTCAGATCTCATGATGCAAGCATTTTTAGACCAAGTTAACCACACCATTGAAATTGTTGGATCTTAATTAGTCAATTAGGGTTATTTTCTTTTTCGTTTTGATTGAATTTCATAGCTTTTGGTTTTTATACAATCGGAGATGGTGACTGGAACCACCGTCCAGGGTGGTCTAACCAGTGGCTGACTACGCGTGGCATAATGTGATGTTACGATTGGTCCATTCAAAACATCAGGGCCCCACCCAGGCATGCGCTTATGTTGTATGACTTTTGGGGATTTGTTTTATATTATATATAATTATTTCATTTGTATAATCGAATGTAAAGCCGCCCCAGCGGTAGAAGCGCGCATGTTAGATAATTATCGTACCAGGGCACGAGTTAGACCCCTGCCCCTGGTATTTTATTTTCACATCTTTATTTTGTTGCAGATTCAGCATAACCAACTCTCGTGCGTCCACCGTGCGCCTCATCTCATCACCATCAGATCTCCACTGATTCAAGATCAATGCGCCAGAACTTGTATGCACATCATGGATCTCCTGGAACCAGCCACACTGGATCGTTCACAGTATTTGGACCTGCAGTTTTTGGGCCTAGTATTTTTCTTTCCTTGCATCCCCGGTTTGCTTTACAACACGCCCAAATCTTTTTTTTCTTGTTTTATTTTAATTACTTTTTTTACATAATTAAATTAACTTTTTTTCTTAACTAAAATTAATTTAGACATTAGGTTATTTTAATTAACATAATTAATTTTTTAATTTTAATTGAACTAATTAACTTAGTTTTTTAGGGTTTTATCATTAAACCTTTCTTTTTTCAATTAAAATCAACTTAGAGTTTTTTTTAGGTTTTAATCAATTTTTTTCTTTTAATTAAAACTAATTAGGTTTTTTTTAGATTAACCATCAAATCAATTTTTTTATCAAAATCATAAAACAAATTTCTTTTTTCCCTTTATTTTACCGCTTCACGTGTTATTTTCGCATTAGTTTTTCCCAATTTATGTAACTGCTAATGGGTTGTAATAGTTTAAATTAGGGTTTTACTTTCTATTTCTCCCGATTTTATGGTTTGTACCCCCTTCCCTGAAGCCCGGTAATAGTTTAGATTTACTTTCCGCACCTTTACTTTCCGCAATTTACCGCTTTCCTTATTATTGTATAGTAATTAGACATGTATGGCAAGATCTAAAAGCAATCATAGCTAACCCTTAATATAAGATAAATAATTTAATTGAATCACTTTTCACACACACACACAACTCTAGGGTAAGCTCACGTGTTTCCTTCGTATAAACATGGTCATGTCCCTCGAACATAGGGATACCCTTAGCAAAGACCCTCGGTTAAAATCATCATAAAGATCTCAGTCCCACAATGTCCCTCGAGTTGCTTATAAGAAATGATCTTGTCCCTCGATGTTGCCTACGAATATATGATGACAGTCCCTTTAAATTACTAAGGTATCCCTATATGTTGTATTCTATGACCATAACAACGACCCACGCCTGTCTCTCACACACCTAATAGATGGGGCTTCCTACTAACTAATGGTAGGGTAGAACCATCTAAAGGAGGAGGAAAATAACACGAAAGAATTTTGAGTAGATAGATCACTCGTAATTCCTTGCTCACACTTTTCAAAACATCTTTTTCACAAACACTCTTCTGAAATATTTTCAAAAACAAACACTTTGTACGCATTCTTAACTGATACAAGAATCATTACAAAGTTGTCGTACTTAGGCATTTTTCAAAATATTTTCAAATCACATACACCCAAAGCATTTTCAAAATAAAAGTGAGCTAGCGATTAAGAGCCCGTAGATAACTACGGATGAAAAGGGTGTTAATACCTTCCATTTTCATAACCTACCCCCGAACTCAGAAAATTCTCGAAGGTATTTCCTGTTCTTTTCACCCTTTCCTTATTAGATAAAAGAAAAGTTGGTGGCGACTCTTGCTATCAGCAATATTTGCGATAAAATGCAAAACAAGTAAGTTCTCCCACCGTATTACATGCCCCAATAATACTATTATAGTGAACAAAAAGACTACGACTCCAGCTAGCTAGGAATTTGAAAGCGGGGAAAGTGTCATAATTGAGATGCAATTTATTATGGACGATCTTCATTGCCATAACCAAACCTTGGAGGATAACGTCCTTCATATCCAGCAATGCCAGTAGGGGACATACATGGTGGATGAATTAGAGGTATTGGATCACCAACCTCTATGGATGAGATATGAGAGGTTCCTGTCACATAGAACCTCAAGCCACTATCATTGACTAAGTTCGATTGACGTATCGACCCATACAAACATATAAACTCCATCAATAATCAAATGAACATCATTAGGACGCTTGACTCCTTGAAGTGAAAGCTCGTGTATAGAACCTTTAGAGACGTAACTTTGAGGTGGTTTATGGGCCATATACTCTTTGTCACAAGCTACCAAGATCTGGTTAAGAAACTGGCTCATCGACATGCCACAAGTCTGCGTACAAAGTTGAATGCCACCAATATATACAACATTCGTCAAGGCTGCTTAGAAACGTTGAAGGAGTACCTCACCCGCTATAATGAAGCAACCATCAAGGTGATTCATCCAAATTAGGAAATGTTCGTAGAAACCTTTAAGAATGGGAACAGGGTAGGACACTTTAATGAGTCCCTCACCACGAGGCCAACAGTGTCCTTGGTTAAAATAGTAACATGACAAAATGTTACCTCAATGGCGAGGAGAGAGATGCTGAAAAGAAGGCCTATGATGCAAAATGATTCACTCCCAATATAGAAAGATGCAACATACATTCACGCACACAACAACGACCACATGGCTATCTTCATTCGATGTGACAATTGGGAAATATAAAAAGTCTTGATTGATCAAGGGAGCTCCGTGAATATCTTTGACCCATATGCATTTGAGAGGCTTCGCGTGGTTTTAGATGACCTCAAACCCTTAAAGGGATCATTTGTATGGTTCTCTTGAAAGACAATATAGGTGAATGGTTATATAATGCTGAAGACTATCTTTAGGTTAGAATGAAATTCCAGACAAGTCATGGTAAGATATCTATTCATAAATATGCCCTAATCATTTTCAAACAATCTCCCTGTCCACCTTGTATCTATGTATAAAGTATTTGCTCCAAGATGGGCGACTTGGTTTCATTTAGAGGGGCCGAGAGATTGTTTGAAAATGCTATGTAAAAATCTTGAAGCTGAAGATAAATTTGTTGGGAGAAGCTCATGTAGAAGAAGGATGGATAATTGGGAAGAGGAAAACACAAAGGTTGTGGAAGAAGATCTCATGCCAAGATATGTTTGCTAAGGCGATGTGCCTCAATTAGTTCTAATTGTTTGATGTTTATTTAAGTTAAGAAAGTTTTGTTTTTGGTTGGATTATAAGGTTAATGAAGTTTTTTTGAGGGCACAATTCTCCTATGTTATTAAAGTGGCTCACTATTCTAATGAGACCCTTACTTTATTTATATATGTTTGGGATTATTGTTGATTTACATGCAGCTTATCAAAGATCAAAAAGATGTTATCAAAATTTCTTTTAAATTTATTAAACATATTGGATCCTCACGAAGGAATCCTTGCTGCCCCTTAAGACAATTACATGTTGGATCTTCATGAAAGAATCCATGCCACCCCTCGAGGCAATTACATCTTGGATCCTTATAAAGGAGCACTTTCTTCCCCTCGAGGATATTACATGTGGGATCCTCATGAAGGGATTCTTTCGCCCTTGAGGTGATTACATGTTGGACCCTCATGAAGGAATCTTTGTCGCCCATTGAGGAGATAACATGTTGGATCCTCATGAAAGAGCTCTTTCTTGATGCCCCTCGAGGCAATTAAATGTTGGATCCTCATGAAGTAATCCTTGTCGCCCTAAAGGAAATTACCTATTGTATCCTCGTGAAGGAGTCCTTTTTTCCTCTCGAGGTGATTACATGTTGGATACTCATGAAGAAATCATTGCCTCCCCTCGAGTCGATTACATGTTAGATCCCCATGAAGGAATCATTGTTGCACCTCTAGGAAATTACAAGTTGGATCCTCACTAAGAAATCATTTCCGCCCTTCGAAGCGATAATATACATTGAATATCCATGAAGGAATATGCACATCATCTTGCGGAGATTAGAAGTGTTAGACTCCATTGAGAGGAACCTTTTAACACCCTTAGAATAATAAGGGCATCTCCACCAGATAAATTTCATCCTTAAAAATAAACATTTAAATCTATAGTAAAAGATAATGTACAAAGATGAATTAATAGTATAATCCTGATTAAATATTTGAATAGGGGGAAAGGATTACAAAAATATCAAAAAAAGATAGGGACAAAATCCATATAGAACACTAATAGAATTCCATGAGGGGTTAATCCTTGATATAATTGGTCCTCTAAGGGATCCCAGAGCGAAGTGCATCGTCTTCCTGGGACACATCCGTTACACTTTCCCCAGTAGGAGGGATATACTCATCATTCACCAAACTGGCCTCCCCAGACCACCTTAAACAAATCCATCCAACTTAAAACCAGCTTCGGATAGAGAAATGTTATATATTCCTTTGCTCGCCCAAAGTGTAGATCAGAAGTATCAACCAGGTCATCCTTAAGTAAAAATATCTCCTTCTCAAGTCTCATTAGATAACTAAGAGCCTCATTCAACAAAGCATTTAGTCTAGCAACGGCGAAAACATGAGTTCACGCCTCTACTTCCACTCTTCTAAATAAAACCTTCAAATCATCAATCTCATGCACCAAGGTCATTACTACTTCTTGGAGTTTAGTGAGAGCTTCTTGAACCTTTGAGTGCTTATACTTCAGGTTATCATAAACTTTAGCATATTTCTCCCATTCAACCCTCTCGATCAAAAAAATCCTTAGCAGATGCGCTTCAGCCACACTGGACAGTTCCAGGGATGATCTATTGTAAAGGTTCTGGTAATCAGAAGGGAAATCCTTAGGAAAGGGGAGGCGACTAAAAGTGAATTTCACAACCTCAAACATGGCATCCCTCGAAAGGAATGAGAAAGGGTGATGACCATTCCCAATCAATTGGGGCTTGCCTTTGCCCCTATCATTATGAATAATCGTTAAATATCCTCCCCCAAGAGCACGAGAAGATCATTTTACTTGCTTGAGAATCTTGGAGGGAGGTTCATCAATAGTAGGACGATCCTCGATAAATTTATTATTCTCATATGGAATTTTTCCGACTGGACGGCAAGCATTCTATTCTCTCGGCTAAAGGGTCTATTGAAATTGTTCAAGTGCAAAGGATATAAATTAAAATGAGTTAGAAATATAGTTTAAAAATTAGCCATGAATAGAGATGTTATCCAGTCATAGACTCACCAGATATTCGTATATGTCATTATCCTCCCCTAAATCCAGAGAAAAAAAGTGTGATGGCACAAATACTTGAAGGCAGACAATTCCTGAATCATCTCCCACTCAAAAAGGGTGAATCGTCGGGAGAAAAATCAGTAGTGATCATTGGATCACTCATCCAAGATAACAAAAATAATGAGGCACTAGTTCCCTGGACGTGACCATCCAAGTTTCGTCTTGTTCCCTAACCCTCACAAACTTGTCATTCCAATTGGGGAAAAGTTTGGAGTGGAGCGCCAATAACTTCTTCCCTAAAATACTAATAAAAGGTCACTCAATCGCTTGCGGGAGTTGGTATGAGACTATAGAAAGAAAAGAATACCTCAATAGTTGGAGGAAACTCTAAACTACGACATAGAATCTCAAAGGCCCTGATAATACCCCAACCATTAGGTGTAATTTGAAAAGGGGTGACATTGGCCATCATCATGAATTCAACCTCAAACAATGTCAAGGGGATTAAGACCCCAAGTCATAAATAATGAGAAAATGAGATAGAAATAGGGAATGGGAAAATCATCCGCGAAAACCATATTAGCTCTCTCCTTTTTAGAACAAGGCTCCAAGGTCATATCTTCTTCGTGCCCAGTACTAGAAAGCACAATATTCTGTCAAAAGAGCATTACCTTTTCCTCATAAGAATACAGAGACGCAAAGTCCCACACACTAAAGCATTTACCACCCTTTCCCATCAATTCCTGATAAGAACAAGAAATATAAGAAAGTTCTTATCGAAGATATATGGGCCTTTATCCCTAGGATCCTAACTTATGATATAAAAAGCACATCTTCTCATTAAGAGCAGCCCGAAGAAAAATAAAAAACGGAATGGATATATAAAAACAAAGCCATTATTGTAACTTTGATCAATAACTTGGGGAAAATACGCTTTACACCCATACAAAATCTTGACTATATGAACGAAAGCTTGAGCGAGAAAAAGATTAGAGAAAAATGATGTATGCCTCTTATAAGGGAGGAAATCTAGTTGTAGTGGCAACTTACTTCCGTATAGGTATCTCCATAGTTATAAGAAATGGGAAATATCCCTTGCTCCCGACACACGTGTAGGGATCAAGGCCAAATTTGGCTTCCCAATAAATATAATCATTCATTACATTTAATATAATGCACACTTTTCCCAATTGATGCTTAAATCTATCTTAGTTTCTTGACGTTTAATTTCTTTTCAATGATTGACATTTAAATTACCATAACTAAATCGTGGATTCTGTCACTGACACCTGGGAGCATATCCTAGAATCGTGTCCATACAAAGGCGATTCCTTACATTTTAAGAACCTGCCTCATGAATTAAAGGTTTATCCCATGTGTAGGAAAATTTCCTGAAGCTTGAGGGACTTATTCATATGAGATAAACGAGACGAAATCACTTCCTTCTTTTCAAGGCCTCATCCTTGAGGGAATGTGTATCAGTATGTTTTAGTGAATATAGTGGAAGGTTGCGTGGTAGTTCTCAAACGCCCATTTATTATTCCAATATTATATTTATTAGATGTTCCACCCTTTTACTAGATATCTCGCATTCCTCAAGGATGAGTCACTCGACGTGAGAATTGGGAAGTGGCGTGGCCTCATCCCGTAATAATATGGAAGAAGTCATGAGAAAAATGGGTCACACTCCTCTGAATATCAAGAGATAAATTTACCACTTGCCACTGGTTGCTATTTCCAAAGAGGTCTTGGATCCAATCGCAGGGTTGCTATAAATACTCCAACACCATAACAAAGAAGAAGGGAAGGACAACACATAAATGCACATATACACTAGTTTTCACTCCATGTGAGCCAGCTCTCAACCTCACCACAGTCTTAAAGTCTTTGACAACCCTTAATAACTAGGGGTTGTCACTCATTTATTATTTTTTCAAGTACAAATCTATCATATTAGTTTTTTATATACTTATCCAAACGAGCCATAATGAATTCAACTTAAATATAAGCTAGATTCATTTGAATCATAGAGTTGAACCTGAATCAGTGGACAATCCTATAAATTATACTGCATGAATATTATTAACCCTAGACTTACAACATAAATTCAGTCATGTGAGTTTAATCATTAGCATCACATTTTCCACAAAAAATTTAAGACTGAAAGACTAATAAAACCAATTCCATATCATAAAGGATTTTATTTTTCAATCAAGTGTATTAATCTAAATATAATTGGACAATTTATGGAGATAAAATATTCAATAATATTAGGTAACCATAATGCTTTCCTAGAAGTCAATTATATTTTTTTGGACAAAGATATTTGACCAAATATTAATATTATTGGGTCCTATGAGGTCAAACAAATAGTAACATAAGGATTAAATTAGGAGGTTATGGAATGGAAGATAAATTGGGAGGTTATGAAATGAAAGATAAATTGAGAGATTATGGATTGGAAAATAAATGATCTTAAAAGAGATGATTAAGTCACATAATGTATGACATTATGGGCTTAATCAATCCTCATCCATTTAACTCTATATAAGATAGAGGTTACATGAGAAATATTTACCATTCTATCCTCCTTATTTCAAGAGATAAATCCTAGTTTTGGAGAGTGTCTCCTTGCATTCTCTTTCTCCTATCTTTCGATTTTCTCCCTAGCCACAAAAGTAAGACGAGAAACTTGTTCCCTCCTTCCGTACTAGCATACATGGGGATCCTGTTGTTTCTCGTAGACCAAACTGGAGGAATAATGATTGATGTTCTCGAAGATCTACATTGGAAGCTAGAACCTTAGTGGATTCACACATCAAAGGTATATAATGTTATACTTAGTATGATTTGTATTGATATATGCATGATGATCTAAGGATTAGATGTAAAGAATGAGATTCTTAAAATTCCGCTATAAGAATCTAAAATCTTACAGTGGTATCAGAGCCTCTTGAATATTTTATTATGATATATATATATATATATATATATATATATATATATATATATATATATATATATATATATATATATATATATATATGTGTGTGTGTGTGTGTGCGTGTTATATTTTATTCAAAAGTTTTGTATTAATTGAATTATAAATTTTGAAAGATATGTGTATGAAATTTTATTGCTTGAATTTGTGTTTATATTTTTTTATCTTATGCTTATTATAAGTATAAGATCATCAACCTAAAACAACACTTAAAATATTAGATTTTATTTGTTTTAAAATTAAGAAATTTATGCCAAATTTGATGAATTTATGCATAAAAATATTTTGTGATAAATTATTGTATTGAAATTAATTGAATTGAAAATACAAAAAAAAATGGAAAAAAATTAAGTATTCCAATAATGCATATTAAGGATCAATTTCATTTATAATTAAATTGGTCTCATGATAAACTTGTAATTGAATTATAATTGTGATGGTGTTTAATATGATGTTAAATCCTAACATGTGATTAAATATATTATATGTTTAATATGTTATATGTTTAAATGTATAACTTTCACATATTATAGGAGCATCTTGCTCGCTTATATGAAACAACCTCCATGTGCAGACTAACTAATGCTATTGAAGATCAGGTACAATTGGAATATGGAAAGAGCTAGAAGACAAGTTCCTTGAAAGATTCTTCACCACCTTGTAGTTCACCGAAAGGAAAGCCGAAATCGTGAATTTTGAGCAACAAGAGACATAATCTCTTCATGATTCATGGGAAAGATTCAAATTATTATTATGCAGGTGCCCCAATTATAACCTGGATAACATGGATCAAATGCAGAGTTTTATCAAAGATCTCAGAAATCAAATACGTATATTGGTAGATGCTTCTGCGGGAGGCACAATCAGAACAATGACCAAACCTCGGGTAAGGAATTTGATTGAAAAATGTGTTTGAATGAATACCGCTCAAAAAGTGAAAGAGTTTTTAAGACTGAAGCTACAGGTACAACAAAAGGTATAATAACTTTAGATGTTCATATTGATTTATTAGCTCAAATTTAATTATCAAATAAAAGGTTAGCTGAAAGCAACCTGAATTAAGCTAACATGAGTCAGGTACAAGCACTACAGTGTGATTTCTGCGTACAAGGACATGCAAACGTAATGGGCACCACGAGGGCTCTACCGAAGAGGCCCAGTTTGTAAATTTTTAGAGGAATAATCCATATTCCAACACATATAATCCAAGTTAGAAAGAACACCCAAACTTCAAGTGAGAAATAATCAAACACCAGCTACAAACCAGAATGCTCAACAAGCTTCAGCTTAGACGAAATCGTATCCTCTGAAAGAGACTCTGCAAATGTTCATTCAAGCTACTCAAAGTAGTTTTGAACAGGTAAGCAAACAACATGGAACCATGAGTAAGAACCATGATGCATCCATAAAAAACTTGGAGATGCAAATTGGTCAACTTTCCCGCCAAGTGCTGCGTTATCTGGTTCTAGTGGGGGATTCAATGGTGATATTATGGATAATCCCAAGAAAGAAACTTGTAAGGCTATGGAGGAAAGGTCAGTTGGGAACAATGAGGTGGAAAGTGATGAAATAGTGGAAGAAATAGGACTCACCCTTGATCAGTTGATATACAAAAACTCACCATTGAGGAGGACTAAGAAGAAGATTCTCAATGATCCTA